AAGTTGCTCGTTGCTCGTTGCTCATTGTCAGTTGCCAGTTGCCAGCCAGTAAAACTGAATGAGTAGTTTCACTTTGATGACAGATTATATTCATTATAACGTCGTGCGCCCACCCACCACTTAGTCGACTTACGCTACCCGCTACTCCTTACATACCATCATTTATTACAGTGTACCGATGTTGTTGTTGTTGTTGTTATTTGTGATGTTAGCAAAACGTACCATACCGAGTTGAACGTCGTTTGGCTGCTGATGAATGATAAGAACGGCTTTTTGGGTAAAAAATATTTAATACCGGAAAATATTAAAATTAGAAAAATACCTTTTCACAACAACTGGGTCCACAGATACGCAATGAGAACATGGAGACAACGCGCGCGTTACCGGTTGCTCGCGGCGCATATCGGCAAAAGATGAGCAATATTAACGTTAATTATTGTTTTTTAGTGCTTAGACCGTACAGGCTATTATGTAGTACATGACAATAAACATGATATCCTCATTAACAAAAATAACAAAAACAACAACATAATTACATACATGAAAGGTAATACTGTATAAAAGGCTTTACTGTATTGTCCACTGGCCGGCCACTTACTCAGTCCCTTCCCCAAGACAGCACAATTATGAACATGCAAAATGACTAAAAATAGGGCAAACATATAAGGCTGGCTTAAGCTTTCTGCGGTCGCTCTAAAGGAGGGTTCCGCAACTGATAAAATCGTTGATCTGATTACAAACGGCAAGGGGAAGCGGCGTAAAAGGAATATAAAGTCCGAGTGTTATGATTGATGTTGCCTAAATTTGTCCACAATTAGTTTTTAAGTTCTACGGACTACGACGCATTGCGTTACGTCACGACGCGACGCGACACGATGCGTTGTATTTGGCTCGTTGGGTTGTTGTAGCATTCACAGCTGTACACAGAGAAAAATATTCGCATTTCTTGTGTTTTCATAAGCAAAATGTGTGGTAAACGCAGTCCAAATGCGATTTGAATAAAAATTATTTTTTTTACTTCCGTAAAATCCGATTTTGCTTATTAAAGCAAAAACTCATCAAAGAAGAAAATTGGCAAAAACATTTTTGTCATTTTTCTTTGACAAAAAAATTGAATGCACAAATGAAAATCTATTCACTTCACTCCATATATACACCCATTTATATACATACATATATCTACATATATGCATTTACATATATATAAAATAGAATATAGAAATCAACATAAGCACAGAAACTGGAACTTATGTCCTATGAAAAAAGCCACAGTTGTTTCTGTTTTTGTTGTTGTTGTTGTTGCGTACGTAAGCAAAAAGGCTTAGTCCTTGTCTCTGGGGAAATCTGTTAAGCCGTTCATAATGAACATTTTTCCCACATGCACTTCAGATTCACACAAACAGAACTGAATGAAACTGGAAAAAGATATGAAAGCAGCAGTTATTAAAAGGCAGAAATATTTTCAAAATAATTTCTCATTATATCAGAAAATTAATTTCAAACCAAAGTTTGGAATAGCAGAAGATTTTGTTAATGAGAATATTCTGTTTTCTTAGTTCTTCATATCAATCGATACGGAATAGCAATATAATTTTAAGATACTTTTAAGCTTCATTTATCATTTATTGAATTTAATGAGGTGCTCACATGATATCACAATGCTACTACACTAGCAAATCGGTCTAATACTGGCATCTGCATGAGACGTATGTATTGTAATATTCCAACTATGATTTTAACTCCTCAAACCTCTAGTAACCGAAATAAATGTTAAATGGTTTGCGGATGATAATCATTTCTCTCATGCAACGGAGATGATTTGCAGCTTATGCGATATATTTTTAACAAGATTTGATAAATTTTTATAATGATGATATCAGTTATAGAGAAAAACCCACTAAATAATTTACTAAAATAATAATAACATTCAAAACTTGTTCGAGTAAACTGAATAAAAAGTAGTTAAATAATTAAAGTCAAACTGTATTTAAATCGATCCCACTTTTTAGTATGATAGAGTTGAAGTTACTCGTGGATCACCTAACTGGTCATCAGAACAGTTGCTATTATCTCAACAAAATAAGTCTGTTCAATGTAAGTCTTAGCCTGAAAGATTATGAAACAGCTACTCACATTCTATGTGATTGTTCGGAACTAAGTTAAGAAAGTTTATACCTTTAACCATATTGACATAATTTTTCATTACAGGAAATATTGATTTAAATACGACGTAGGGAACCAGGTAAATCTATGTTTATAGCCATTACTTTATTTCTTAACTTTTATATAATAGTTCAAATTCTGTTTAGTGAGTTAAAAAATGTATAATTAATTGATCCTTTAAAATTATACAAACTCTATTAGCTGCAGTAAAAGATTCAAATTTTTCTACTCCCGACCACACCGGAAAGGATATAAGGAAATCGCAGAATCACAGGACTGTGATTCTTTAACATAATATCCTATAAAAAGAATTCACGTTATTTTTTCATATAAAAGCTTAAACACTAGTTTTAGATATTAGTTGAAGAATATATTAGCCATAGTGGTCAAATATAGTGATTTCAATTTTTGGTTTGAAAAACATACAGCCCAATAGACAATAACTCACTGCGTTTACCGACTAATCTTGACTTAGCCTCAAATTTCCAACAGGGTAAGTCTCAGTTTTCATTCTGAGAAGTAACACTCATCACTATTCAAAATAGAAAAAACCTCTAGTATAATAAAATTTTGAAACAATTCCTCTAACTTGTGTGCTCACAACTCACGGATCCACTCATATAACATATGAGCTGTATTTTTGCATTCTACTCTGTTTAACCTTTAACCGTAAGTTTTCGAAGATTTCAGACATATTGTTCTAAATGAAGTACCATTGTCCTGCTTCCGATGTGATTACATTTACACCAGAGAATAAAACAAAACTGTACACCAGGAACAAAAACAAAAAAAAAATAATCATTCACTGTCAACGGTAAATAAAAATTACCCTCTCTGCCTGTTAATGGTCATTTTTCCACGCTTTCAATACGATTTCCCGTACTCACTTTTCCGCTACTCTATTTCTCTGTAATTTTTCTTAACTTTCCCTAATACCAAATTACTGCCTACATTTTGTTCAGCATTAAATAAGCTTTGGGCTTACAATGTCACAGCACTGGCAGGATTAACAGTTGAGATTAGGTGTGGGTGAAAGGGAAAACTGGGAAATTAAATATCCTATCCTATTAAGATGCTTAACCTCTGCTACCAACTATCGCATTTACTTCGCATTAGTGCAACTGTGTATGGTTAACTTCAATGGAACCAATGAGCAATTTTTGTAATATACTTAATAGAATTTTTATCTGCTATTAGACATCTCTGTCTACGAACTGAAAATCCTCTTATCGCACCTTGAAAATCAACGTTTTTTAATTTTACTTTTGAAATGATACTGGGTGTATTCATTGGTGAGTGCTACGAAACATTTGTGGAAGAAATAAAATTAACTATAAAATCAGTTGAGTAACTAAAATATTTTGGTGAAGAAAATATAATATTAATATGTACTATCAAGCGATGATTTCATTCAGGACCCGAAATCTGGAGGTCACTTAGTGGTGTTAAACTAATGTATCACTGTTAGGTGTTTCTAAAAATTTTGAATACTTTCAAGAAAAAGGTGTATCATTTCTGAAATGTACATGTCAGAATCCGAATTATTTAAGTCTAATATATATTTTTTATATATTCTATATTTTCACATGTGTTAAAATATATATATATTATTGAAATTTATGATTTATGATGTTCATTATTTATTTCTTGATTTTAATATTTTCAAAACAGAAATAGATCCTATTGCCCAGCATCCTTTAACTGCTTAACTGCTCTGTAAAAGATTTATGCATTGTTTCAGAATGGTGATGGACCCTTCACCAACAAAAAACACAATTGAAATTTAAAAAAGTTTTAAAAGCTTTAGAGATATTATAGGAGTTGTCAGAGAACAGAAAAAGACAGCTGCATAACGTGATTCTTGGCAAAACGCGACATATGAATATGAATTGAATATGAGGTGTTTTCATTCTACCACGAAAAGAGATTTTTTCATATACATTAACACTCTTGTTTTAAATGCTGATCTTTTTTTTTGCTTTCAAAATTTATAGAATTATATTAACTTATTAATTAAGTACTAAATCTCACAGTTCAGCTGCACTTGGAAATTCCAACATAATTTACATAATTGTTAAGATCTTCTTGCCCCTTGAATAAATCATAGCTAAGATCAACGATCTACACTATCTTTATCGTAAATTGCTTAAAAATTGCGTCTAAAAAACATTAAAGAACAGTCGTACTAAGTAGCCAATTGCGTCCTACAATTGCAATCCATCCAAAGTACTTTACATATAACACTGCTAAAGTAACTAGCATAGACAATTACTTACTCTATTTTGCCAAAGAATATTTTACAAGATATCTTAACCTCCATTCTGTACTCTTTTAGGTTGACACTTTAGTAATTAATACATATTTTTCAAACTATGTGGCATAAACCTCCACAATTCCACAAGTGCTGTCCTAATAAGGCACAAACCAATTCCTCTCTCATATCTTTCTACAACTATACTAATTTTGACGGAGAATCTAGTATGTATTGGTAATCGAGTCTGTCCGCAAGGCAGTTGAGTAGGTGACTTGGTCAACTTTAGTGTAGTGACATTCGGTTTAATTTTGCTAGAGATAACATTCCATCGAACCATGAATGAAAAACTATTTTATTCCTCAGGTTTTTTCAAAGATGAGTCGTGTGCATGATATTAAAAGCATTTGCTTCACACAACAACTTATGAGTCTTCAACTTCCTGTATGATTCCTTGCTTTCAGCATGAAGACCGCAATTTTCCATTTACAGCAATAACGGAATTAGACAGTGCTAAACACCTCTTGTAATGATAACTCAAAAATATAAAAAAGTGTTCTTGTACTTCCAATTAAATTAATGTATTTAATTTATTACAATATATGTAAGGCAATAAATGAAATAATTGAAATTACTAACGTTTTAGAATCCAACAGAGCCACTTAATGAGTATTTAAGGTTTCAAAAGGCATTATAACGCCGTTGGGCAAGACCACAAATATAAGGTTTGGTTTTCCACATTTCTTTGGGGGTTGCTTACAACCGGTTGAACTTTTAAAAATCTCATAAATTTCACATCCGTCCTTATTACAATGCATGCGAGTCCAAAGCCAGTTAGAACTACCTCCTTTATTTGTCTGAAAGCCCAGTTTCTCTTTAATTTTTCTGCAAGCCAATGAACATAAAGAAAACGAACGTGGTAATGGTGCCTTGCGAGAACACACTGAGGTTTGCGATTTTTTTCTTCCACAAGTACAACCTCCTGTTTTGACAGACTTGGAGCCACACAATGCATCTACAATAGGTATAGACGCCTTACTTTTACCACCGCTGCATTTCTTCTTCAATATCGAAGATGGCTTGTTGCCTGAGTTGCATGCTTTAATAAAAAAAAATGTATTAGTACTTCGGGGAATAGATTATATAGAAAATTTAAATTATAAAAACAAATTAAACCTATAAATTAATTAAATTTATTTATAAAATTTTCTAAACTCTTCTTAAGCTCCATACATCTACTATTTCATCTCTCTTGAAGCTTAGCTAATATGAAGTAATCAACTTACATTTTGAAGAACCAGCTAAATTAATATCCAAATTTGAAGGGCAGGGAGTTGGCTGCACAGATAACGCACATTCGCCACAAGTACAGTCATCAAGTAAATTAAAACCCCCATGTGCTCCTAATAATTGTAACACATGATCAAAGGAACATAAAGCTGGCTCATCAGGGAAAGGTCCTAATCCATCGATCACTGGTGTTTGATTCTTTTTACTCGTTTTCACTAGTTCGACGCATTTTATTTTTGGTCCTCCTTTACGAGGACAGACACTGGCCTTCGAGCAAGCACTCATATTGATTCTGTGAAGGTGCAACTATTTATGTTGGGATAAAAAGTTTATTTTCATATGTTTTTAAACGGATATATTGTACTATATGCGATCTGAACTATCGACATATTAGTTACAAGATAAATTTTGAAATTATCACTCTTGCAATTTTGTTCTAAATTTTTTTTTTATTTTTTTATGATTTGACATACAATTTAGAAAACAATTTTTAAAATTTCTGAAGTATTTAAATCAATTTTTCTACTTCAATATATATTTAGATATTAGAATAATTTAATGTAAATCATATTAATGTCTATGTTTATACAATATATCAAGAAAATATGATATTGTTTTTTTTATCAAACCCTACATTTTATATTTTATATTTTCTTATGACAGTTCTATATGATCTATAGACTTTCATGTACTTTGTCGAAAAAGCTGTTACGTATTCTTCAAGGATTCTACACCAATATAGTTCCTTATTTTGTATGTCATCATTCCGTCTATCGTCTTTAAATACTCAATCGACATTTTTTGAAGGCTGAAGTGTGGCCTTCATCCAAGTCCTTCAACAAATTTTTTTTTAAGACCACAACTGTAGGTCTCAATCACCTTGCTTAAAGTGGTAGTTTTAGCTTCGCGAACAAAAAAAAATTCACTTGGAGCCATATCAGGTCAATATGGAGTTTAATGAAACAAATGAAAAATGAAAATGAAATAAAAAACTCTGTCATAACAATTCCTTTCTGCCATCGCACAACACTCAAAAGTATAATTCCAAAGTTAGTTGATATAAACACTTTCAATCACAGAACCAACTCAAATTTCGCATTTTTGTTGTAGTTGTAGCTTAATGAGATCCATATAGGAGAAGGCATGAGAGGAATTAGGAAACACAAATGTTTCCTACATGGATTGAAATATCGATTAAGAACAGTTAGTAAAAAGAGGAGAGGTTGTTTCGGAAACGGAATGGATGAGAGATAAATGAGATTTTACTAAAATCCCAACAGAAACTATACCAGCATATCACATGATAGCACAGTACATATAGTGCTACAAACTATAAAAAAACCATAGTGGTGATAGCTCTTCACGCGCGTTTTACAAATTACAATTTCTGGAACTTTTTACACCGAATGCAAATATATTATTATTATTAAATAATAGGCTATGAATGCACCGCCATCTAAAAGATCTATCGTGCGCCTAAAGGCCCAATTAAAACAATTCTAGACTATTTATAAATCTCGTAATTGCTGTAGGCTTAATTTCAAGTAGATTTTGTTACTCACGTTCACATTATAAGTTGTTTATGAAGCTAATGCCTTTCGATAATGCCTTTATATACTATATACATATTATTTTTTAGTTACAAAAATGTATTTATTGAATCGTTTCAATTTAGCCTAATCAATAAGTTTATATATACATACTACGATGAATTATAAAATGACTTGTAAATTATTTTAAGCGCCTATGATGTTCAAATATAATATTAAGCTGTGACTTAATTTCATTGCATTAATAATTATATACATATATATATAAATCTTGAAAACCAACAAAATCGTTAAAAACGACACGTAAACATACAAATACATAATTCAGGTCTTTGATAAAGACTAAATCATTGTTTTTATTAAAAATGAATATAAGAAGTAAGAACAGTATATAATCTAGTCCCACTATGTAAGGTAAAAATTTAAGATATAGAGTATACACTAACCATTTTATTTGGCGCCTGTAAGTAATAATAAATAATTCACATAGAGATAGTCGAAAGCCACTTCAAACCGTTAATAGCAGACGGCATGCTTGATGATTACTCCGAGCACTATATGAATAGAATAAATTATTACTGTAATAAATTTTAATCGATTTTATGTTATATTGATATGAGATATTTATATATAGCTATATTTTTTAAGCATATCAAATAAACAATTGGAACGATTGAAATAACTTTAGTATCTCGTCATAAAAATAGAGCGATTATCTATAAAGGAGGTGATATGTTATATATAATTACCTTCACCATATGAACAGTTTAGTAATCTAATACGAGTATCAGTAATAACTAAAATAATTTCTCAAAAAATTTAAAAAAAGTCCATAAATTTTTTTTTTACTGATTTGTTTAGCGAATCATTTATATAGCGATATATTATCAGTAACATAGCGTATTGGAAATTAAGCTACGGAGTACTGTTCATTAAAATATACATGTACTTAATTGATTAGTTCAAAATATTATTAGTAAATAAGTAAGTACATACAAACCGTTTATATAATACGTAATAATATAAACATACCTGGAATGACAAATTTACTTATAGAAAAATAGATATCACATATCGACGACTATGTCAACGTGAAGAAATGGGGATAAGAAGTGAGATTCGATATGCAATGAAATAAGGTAATAAGAATGACAAGAAGAAGAGAAAAGTGAGCGTTAGATTTAGTCCAAATAAATAGTCCATTAAGGGCCAGAACCCATCTATGCTATCTATGTTTAGTAATTGATTTTAGTTAATCAGACGATAATAGTTTTAATTCGAATAAAAACACTAATGGTAACAAATGGAGTAATTTAAAAGAGTAATAAAACTAATAACCTTACACATTTCACATCTTCAAAATTTTAAAACAATATTTCTTTATATAACTTTAATGTGATTATTTCAAAAAAAAAAAGGGAATGAATGAACGGGAGACCTTATATTGCTTTCCAAAAGTGGACAAAATGTCGATGATTTCCATGATCACACATTCGATGCAAGTATACCTATAGAAAATTTTCATACAATTCTTCAGGCAAAAATGTATGTTAATGAAAGATATTCCATAGAACCCCTCAAAAATTAGTAACGCCAAATCGTCATCATAATTATATATATGCAATAGTCAAGCAGTTCCACAATCTATCCAGTGTTATATCACTAAATCTAAAATGGTCTGATACTGCCACGTTTTTTCTGAGCTCGAAATGTTAGCACATTTTGCCATTGAAACGCTAATTTAGAAATGATACATAGAATACCTAGCAAAAATTGCAAAATACGTATTATCACTTAATGATAATGCAACCTCAACCTAAAGTTAATTAATCGGCCTAAAGCGCCGATAATTATATAGTTCATTAATCCATTCATCTACTATTGCTAACGCAGTGTCATAGTTAGGAAATATTTTTTTGAATTGTTTATTTTTTATATTCATTATATGCAAGATCACTTCAGACACACTTTTAGCGGAGGGCACTACCCCATATAAGCCTATGCCCATGACATACAGAGTGAAACCTAATCTATATGCTAATTTAAATACTAAATTTAATTAAACTTTACTTCATTTCAACGTTTCTATCTTATCAATTACATTTTGAGGCTTTTCTCACTTTGTAACCAACAGCCACTACGATTAAAGGCGACATTGCCATATACGACATATGTGATAACGTTATACAAATTATTGATAATGAAATTCGGAGCTCTTCATAATAGCTGTTTAATTTACAATCTCATTTTTATTGATTTTAATAAAAACGCTCTATCATTCTCATAATTTTTTTATCTTAAATCTTCAGAAATTTTTGACATATTTTCAAATGTTCATAAACAAACGATTAATTGTTTTTAGGCCTATTTTTAGTCCAGTATGTAGAATTACATTCATGTTTATCAATTAATAATAATACGTAATAAATTTTTTTTTAATAATTAATCATATAAGACGTATAAGAAAATATTGATCAATTCTAAAGGACAGTATTCATTAGGAGTTGTTTACCTAAAGTTATCGATCAATTTTTAAAAATTTTCACATTCTCGAATTGAATACTAACTACTTGTGATGTTAACATTTTAAAAATATTTTCATACTTACTAGTTAGCTCTCTTGCTCTTTATATTACAAAGAACTTCTATAAAAGATATTCAATCGTATCGGTCAGTCATCAGTCATCGTAATATCAAACTCATTAGCTTTAAAAACCAAATGTTGTTCAATACCTCATCAGACCCTGTCTCTATTTATGAGAAACTCATATCATAAAAAACCTATAGCATCGTATGGTTGCAAAATATGACATCTGACCACCAACATGAAATCTACTTGCTGTATTACAGCATAAAATCTGAAAAAAAATTGGTGACCCTCTATAAAAAATAAGACATAATACTCGTAATGAATACGGGCAAAACTATTTAAAAAACGAAGAATACAATGGCTAATATATTTCCCCAAAACGGAGCAGCTGAATTACAAATAATACCTCACTCTTTTTTAGCGACCTGCACAGAATAAACAAAGTCAACTATGTCGGAAAGGAAGTACGGCTTCATCCCGTGCTGCTTTTTTATTTTACTGGATTTACGTTTGGCTAACTATCTTGGTTTCTGTTTGATTTTGTTTAGATAATAGCTCAAATCGGCAAGAATAATATAAATCCGTAAAAATTTATCCGTGCAAAAGGCGTTGCAGTTATGAGTCGGATCTTTCATTATAAAATCAAATACAACACAGAAATTAGGGTTTGGGATTTTAATTTTTTTTCTTATTTTCAGTACAAAGAGATTTCAATTGATTCCAAGCCTTATAGTGATCATCAGTTGTAGTATCATTCGTTTGTAAACAAAAATTCAGAATTTTGAATGAGTCTTCTACTTCATCCTTGGAAGGCTGATAAATAATTTCAACCACCGAACTCTTATCATCACTTTCCGTTTCGCTTAGAATCGGATCCTCATCTGTAGAAAAGCTTGATGTACAAATTTCTTTGTCAAGCTCAATGTAATGACATTTGCACAAATAAGCAATACAAGAAAACGGACTTCCCCTAACACCAAAATGGACTCATACCTGAAACAAAAATTCGACTTAGAGAATTCACTTTCCCATATTCCCATTGGCTCGTGACAATATTTTTATTCGAGTTATAGAGAAATTCGTGTTATAGAAGTTCGAGTAATGGAAGCAGAGTTATGTGTAATTTGCTCTCTAAAACGCTGTTGCACTCTTTTTAGCTCCAGTTATAGAAAATTCGAGTAATAGAAGTTCGAGTTATGGAAGTTTCGCTTTGTCTGTGTTTTTTACGAAATCATGCATTCATGACTAAAAAGATTGTGTTTTCAATAAAATATAATATAAAAAATATTATAGGATATATAATAAAAATATATAACATATAATATATAACTTATTATAATGTAATGGTTATAGTTGCATTGAACGATTATAATAAGAATAACTAGGAGAACTATTATTAGCACTTTATTTGTGATTCTCAATTTCATCCAAACTTTCGACTAAGAATTTTTTAGATCAAATATCTATTTATTTAATTAAAAAAAAATCAGATACTGTGTATTAATAATGAATTATTCAATAAAGAACAAACAAACTCAAAGCGGTATAAGCAACAGCGCAGTCAAGAAAACATCAGATCTCTCCAGAAAATCTTTGAAATCCCTTTATAATTATTGGTATTACATTTTTGAGCTATTTCATCAATCCACACAAACTGGTTTTAAAGACTGACTATCTTTTGACTTAGACTTTTTGAAAAAAGTTTTCTGAAATATGTTCCTCTACTCCTTGGCGAAATCGTCACCACAACTTCTGATATAATAGATAAAATGTAACATTAATAAACACCTGAATTAACATCCAAAAAAATTTAATATCAATTTAATATAAAATGTTAATACAATATAAAACAACTACATAATATATATTATCACAATAACTTAACAATGCATAAAATCTTTGCTTATTTAAAATAAATTAGTCTTAAAACTAAACATACCGTAGAAGTTACGCAATTTTTATACCAAAACTACGAAGAATATACACAAATCCAGTGGATAGGCCAGTATAAAGCATAAGTATACCAATGCCTTGAATTGCGGTACGATGCTCAGGTTTAAGGAATATATTAACAAGTCCAGTTAATACATTAGAGAGTAAAAAATATAGTAATCCGTTTTGATTTAAAGCCTCTACAAATGGAGGTAATTCGTGTCGATATTGTAGAGTCTGCATTTTACCTACATCATTTTTGCCATGTTCGGTATCAGCTTGTACAGAAGTTGGACTGTGTATTGGCCAAATGGTGTTCAACACCAAATCGAACATAATAGTAAAGAACAAAGTTATTGTAAGACTGATAGCCATTGTCCATATAGCATAGCTTATATTACAGGTTACACGTGCTATACCTATAATAACTACACAAGGGCACAATACTATCCAGAGGCAGAGCGCAACCACTGCCATATACTTCAATTTTCGCATGTATTGTCGATAATTTAGTGGTTTATTTGATTGTAGACATTTGCCTAAAAACATCGATACTAGATATATACCAATAAATCCAGGAATGGCACATACACCTTCACGATTGGATGTTAGAAAAGAGATTCGGTGTACATTGCTGTCCATAACAAACTCTGCAACGCCATTCTGTAGCATAACTTCATGCGCAATCAGCACAGCTGTACCGAAATGGATGATAGAATAAAATTATCATTAATATTAAATAAAGTTATTGTTAATATAAAATAAGTAAAAGAAGTTATAAAAATAATTGTGATACACTGTATATATTGATTAATATATATATTTCAGTTTGAAAACAAATATTCATAATAATATTAATATAGATAAGCCCATTAACATATGGATCCACGGCGTATAGGTACAAAGTCTTGAGGTACCATCAACCAAACAAATATTAGTGTGCAAGAGGTATTATCGCATTGCTGATAGCGTTGGTATCGCTAATGGAATATAAAAGCCATTAAGAGCGTATCAATAGTAGGAACAGCAGTTGGGTTTTTTATGATAATTTTATGGAAAATGTTTAACTGTTTTTTTATTGGAATTAAAACGATAATAGTTGTAAATTGGTTACTTAACTAAGTTAAATTTATGGAAAAATATTTAAAATTACTTTAATTGAACTTTGCAAAATCCTTTAAAACTTTATCATTAAAGGCAGATTATGTAAGGATATAAAAACTGTTATCCATGCTCTGGATATATATGTTCCTGCATATAAGTGAGCACTACACGCTATTTCAATACGTTAATAGATTTTTATGAAAAGGAAATTCAATTATTTTCAGTTTATTTCTTTTTTTCTTTTGTTTTGATTTTAGCCTAAAAAATACAAATAATTAAATAATAAGCTCAAAAATGTACTGAGCAGAGATATAAACAGATAAAATGCATATGTCTGCATATGTCTTTAAATTAAAAGGAAATTATAGTTACTTAACGCAATAAGTAGTTGTTTAAATCATTTATTTGGCTATTTTTACTTCATACTTACCACATCCCAGTGGCAGCAACAGGTTATCATTATTGACTACACTACTAAGCAGTGTACCAAACAATTTTGTAAATCCAAGTGTAAAGAATGCATTTAAATGTGTGCCATATTCATGCTCATCTTGGCTGTATTTTATGACCATAATAACTACAGTACGGGCTAGACCCAAAAATAACAGCGGCAATACATTTCCCCACATACGTACTAGGTCCTTGTTTGTTTTAGGGCGTCGCGACACACTACCCATGGTAAACACAAAAAGTCCAATGCCAGTATCCATTAAACCAACTCCATAACGTCTCGTTTTACGAAAGTCACTGGGAAAAGATTTGAAATCAATCGCTAATATACAAATAGAAGTTAAGAAATTAGTTGTGGCTCGCGACAGAGTCAACATACACGGACGTGTTCCAATTTCGAAAACTCGCATTTTTGCCATTTGCCAACATTTTGTTCGCCAAACTAACAACAGCATACCTGCAGTCATTACTACAACAACATATTCAACTGCTTCATTGGCAACATTAACACTGAGTATGGTGGGAACGGTGATTATCAGAAATTCAAATATGAATACCGCCTTTATATTCGAATCAACATTATTCGTTTTCAAATGTGTTATTATGCGAGCAAAACCAAACCAAAAAACTATTGGAGCTATTGTCCAAAATATGTGCGATATTTTCCATAGTGTATCAAAAGAGTAGGTCATTTCCCTCTGCTCGTCAACATAATCTAAATAGCTGTCCGTGGAGTTAAAGCAATATAGACGCGACGCTCGCAAAAAGCAACTGAAATCGAGCGGACACGTATTGCCCAAATGACTCGAGTCGACCTGGCAGGTTTCCATCATCTTGCTATATTTTTATGGTGCGTCAATAAATTTGATAAACAAAACTACTAAATTCATAAGCCACAAACTGTGTACACATACATAGCCACAAATAGTGCCTTTCGCAGTTTTCGTAGTTGGCGTTTGTTTAGTTGCCTTCACAAATTTAGTAGTTCGTAGTTCGTAGTACGTTTAAAGAGATAATCAACGTATTGATAAGAAATTATGCAAAACTTCTAATATTTCAACGCCACAATGTATACAATTATTTTCCACCTGCGAAGCCGTCAAAAATGGTAAACAAAGGCCGGCTGTCAAATTCTGAGTTTAGCTGTGTTCAGTGTGTACTTGCAAATGTCAAAATATCTTTCCAATCTGCTACATTATGGAAGCAGACAAGAGTATAAATAAGAATAAGAATTTTGAATTACTATTTAATTTTAAATATTTAAGATTCAATGTTTAAATACTTAAATAATTGTTTCACATTTTCGCATAATTTTAAAGTTTAAAAGAGATTCTGTTTACATAGAATCTTCGGAAATTACTTATTTCCGTTACATTCCGATATTTTAAACTAGTTCTTTCATATCACACTATTACATTATTTGTATTTCGGATAACTTCTTTGAAACTTTCACCTTTCATGATATATGTTAATTATTATAAAACGGAAATGATTTGTCGTCTATAATATTTTTTTCATTGTCTCTTCTAAGAATTACTTATAATAATTGAATTTCAATTAAGCTAGCGTTGATCTGACACTGGTTCTATTAAAATTCAGACTCTATGCAAAGCCCGTTTTCTTTCATCTACTTATACTACCAACCTTTGTCGTTTTAACCTAACAACATATTCCTGATTAAGATAATAATTTAAGCTTTTGGTGCAGTGCTCATATCTGTAGTTATCAGTATTAATGGTTTAAGATAAGATCACTACTTATTTTAATCCGTACCATTTTGATATTGTTGTGTTTTAACAAGTGATGAAATTGACGACTGCGATTGATGGTTTGGATAGATGAGTAACTTCGCGACGTTGACCCGACCACTTCTGCAACCGTTTTTTGTGTTTAGTGTGGAACTCCAAAGGGATTCATAAGTGGCACTAAATCGAAATGCATAGTTCTTAATAAAGGCCCACCCAGCTCCTCTTAAAATTACAACATTTTATGTACTCAACTTATTAAATGTCATTGAGTGCGAAATCTCATAATGACCACAGCTACAATAAGGAATTAATTAAGCCAACTAATATTGAAATCTGATAGTCTTTACTAAATAATAATCATTTACTTGCTCGATCAAATTATTTACTATCCTTATCTTTACTAAAATCCAATCGTTATAGAGAAATTCGTGGGAGTTCTACTAAATAAGGATACAGTTATTAATTTGTTTTCAACTTTTTAATAAAAATATATCAGATCATTCAAGATTAAAATCACAAATTTAGAAATTAATTTACGTTATTTAATACAAAATGGAAGCATTCCGTGTTTCAGCCTAATTATAACTCATCCTTGTCCATACTGACATCATCAGGCACAGTTTCCTGATACTTTTGATATTCTGGATGGGAGCGAACATGTTTTGCTGCAAGTGCAACCAAACGAGCGAATTCTGTACGATCAAATGAATAATTTGTAAATTTTGCATGTGCGCCACCCTGGGGATGATGACCCTCATCTTGTGGATAGGCCAATTCACGATCTTGCCACGTAATATAATTCACACCACGCAATCGCGCCAAATCCTTATAACAATTCGGATCTTCACAATTGTGTAGCTCAAATATTGTCGCCCAATTCGGCAGAAATAGTAGATGAGTTAGACCCGCACCATGCATACCAATTAGCACATCTGTGTTGCGAGTTATCGCCAATTGATCTTTGAAACCAATCGCTCTATAAGCACATATTAATTATATAAACCCTAAGCAAAATTTGCAGACTCTAATTGTTACCTTTCGAATGATACACGTCGTACTACATAATCCTCGTCGCCCCTAAGCTCTTCCAATAGGTCAGCTTCATTGAGTACCTGACGGTACGTGGTAAGACGCGACAAAAATGTTATGCGTACTTTTTTACGTTTCAATGGCGGCTGAAACGGTATTTGTAACCGATGAAGTACAAATTCTGAGAAGGCACGAAACAGTCCACTATTTTGACAACCTTGTATCTATATCAGACGAATTGGAAAGAGAAACCAATTTAATAAATTATTGTTTTATATAAATTTGAATTGTGTCACCTACGATGGGCGTATTGTAGAACAAACCAAATATCATACGAGGCAGCAGCGGCAACACCACATTACGAAAACAGACACGCTTGCCTTTGATATCGTTCAGCGTCCATACCGGCTTTTTAGTAAATGCTTTAAACGTTTCAGCGAATGGTGACTCATACGGATAAGTCTCCCAGATTATGATTTGTGTGTTCGTAACAAATGCTGATGTGTGCGTTTGATTAACAAATAATGAAACATACAAATTAAAGAAATCACAAAAATGGTGATACATATTAAATGTGGAATCGATTTTCATAATAAATGTGGGCGTATTAACTGTCATATCACAATTATCGCCGGTTAATAGCGGCATAGGCAACTCATCGAAGTTGCGTAGCTCAGGTGCCCATGATTGTAACGCACTCATGTGATCCATTTCAACCTTAAGCCGTGTGCGATTCAAACTGCAATGACCGACCAATTGCCCAAGTCGCAGCACATCCATATTATACCGTATCATTTCTTTGCGGTGTATTAGGTCACGAAAATCGAACATCAAATTTCTACCACGACAGAAACGCAAATACTTCGTGCATTCCAACGACGAATCTGTAAAGTATTTTGGCTCACACATGACGCTGAGCTCTTCAATTTGTTGCTTTATATAGCCAAAATCGGTTTGATAGTAGAATGTTTCCACTTGCGCAGATTTGCTGCGCACCCAGCCTGTGTGATCGCCAGGACATATGGGAGTCTGAAAGCGGTCTGTTGCACTGCAGCCAACTTCGTGGCCCCAACATGCTGTTGACCTGCCATCAACAACTGACAATGACACATTCTCAGGCAGTTGACAGTGGTTGGCGGATTGTTGGCAATATGCTTTTAGTTCGGTAAATGTGTTGAGGTAGCGTTTCAAGTGCTCATAAGGCAAATCAGGCAATTTAAAGTTGTTCGGATATTTTGTGACCTCAGTATTTATTGTGCTTGAGCACAGAAGCTGTAGAAGCAGGATAATCAGTATGGTAAGCCGTGTTGGCATTTTCGTATATATACATTTTATATTATTGTGCATGTTTACTTTTAAATAATAATACTAATATATTAAGTACTTCGTTGCTTGGTACTCTTTTTGCGCAAAAGTTAACTATCCAATCACAGCGTCAGTTTCATCTTCTTCGTCTTTTGTTTTTATTCTAAGTACAGATTCTACGAATTCACTGGTTCAGCGTTGGCGTTGCATCTTGCTATTTTGTTGATGATCTCATCTTCAACGTGCAGATGCTAAAGTTAATTATGTTAAGTTAATAACTTATTTAATAGCTCACGTTTTATCCAGCGAATCTACACTTATCTGTTGTGCCAACTTCAATACCGTGATTTTTATGATTTATACATCAGCTACGCCTCACAAAACTCAATACTCGTTTGCCCGGTCTGGTTCTGCCTTCGAGCACACACACAACGCTCCAGACGAAACACGAGCAAACAATACACGGGCAAACGGCGGGCAGCATTGTTTTCATAATTTTGTTTACATTTAAGCTGAAAGCTACACACTTCACAAAGTGCAAAAGGAGCAAAAGAGACGGGAGAAGAGCACAACATAAGGCAAACGTACGCATAAGAACAAGAAACATAACGCGCAAAGCACAATTTACAGGCTGAAACGTAGCAAAAAAATATGTAGTAGATATTTATGAAAATACATTATTCATAAAAAATCATTATATCTATTATATAATTAATACATTGTTTTATTAAATAATTTATTATTTGCTGAAACATTAATTAATAAATTAAATATAAAGAACGAAGATAAAATAAAAAAACTATTGGAAAGACGAACCAATATAACTTGCGTATAATATCATGTTTCCACTGCTTACTTAATAAGTTACTTAAATAACTTTTTTGTTTTCATTTTCAAAAAATTATGTGAAATAACTTTAATGTGTCACAAAGTTGTTTGAAAGTTTTCTCAGAATTTCTGTTTGTTTAAAAAAAATTCACTTAATAATATATCACACAAAAAAATAAATACCTGTTAATATATTAAATCAAAATATATATATAAGGACGTCTAGTCATAGTAAAACTCCTGTAAAAATGACAAAAAAAAAATAATTACCTATTAATAAATTTAATTAAAATATATAAATATATATATATGTTCCACGTCTACTCTAATAAAGTGTCGGATGACGCTCTTCACACATATTTTCATGGAACAGCTTTATGTAGTCTTGTGAGTACAGCTGTTTTTGAAAAACAAAACAGAAATAGAAGTTGAAAAAAGCGCGAAATAAAATGTGAAAAACAAAGAAAGTTTTATAATAATAAGTGCAAATATTTTTAAATATTATTTAAAATGCATTTATTTAAATTTTATTTTAATAAAATGACCTAACTGTTGGAAATTAAATTTAATAAAAAAATTTTATTTTATGTAATAATTACAGACATATCTCACTATCTCGAAGTATATTAATTAGTTTATATTCTGGCTGTGTTATATTACTAAGTTCACTTTACAAAATATTTATTATGTTATTTTGATCCATTGATTTATTTATATTGATTTATTTATATCAATTAATACAATTAAAATTTCGGAATTTTTTTACTTTAACCAGTGTTGCGCAAATAAACAATTCAAAAATTTTAATTCAAACCAAAACAGCTGATTCACGCATCAAACCAAATTTTACTTAAATTAAACAACATTTTCAAATTTCGACAGGAATGTTACGCTCTCTTAGATGTTTTCATGTACTCAACAATTTGCTGGTGGAAGGTATTTGTGGATACATAGTGTTATTCGAAGTTACTACCAGTAGCTCGTGAAACAGACATAATACATAACAATTATTATAATTTTCGTCACAAAATTTTTTCAAATATCATCTGCAATACAGAATAATTTATATTTGCCTGCATTTTAGAGAATTCTGCTTCGAAACATTTTAAAGTGACAACAATGATGCGTGCAATAGTTGATGAAAACAAAACAGAAATTTAATTATTAAATAAAGTTTTTAATTAACAATTTTTTATAATAGTTACTATTCTACATCGTTATAATCACAAAATTTGTTAATTGAAGTTACGGTATAAGTGTAAACGGTATATAAATATAACTATCAAGCATTTCATATCACAACAGCACTGTTACATATTTCGATAAACTTAACCTTATATAATATAGATCTGACTAAATTTCATTTATAAATTTTTTCTAAAACATACGTTTCAAAAATATATTTTAAATTAGGTTCTAAATAAAATTAGTATTAATTAACGATAAATTCGTTTTTAGACACACCTTAAGATATACTGAGGTAAATAACGTATTTCTTTTCATTCAGACCGTAAAAGTGGCGAAATTGATAAAAACTTTCAACGAATTAAAGTTAGGGGTATTAGATTAAATTGTGCTGGCATTGCGATAGCAGATACGTCTTATTTTAGCGATTATGTGCATCACTTAGAATGCGTGCTTTATTAGCGATTTTATTAGGAAAGCTAGGGGTATATTTTAGATAGAATATTACATGTATATATTTGGTCTTGACCACAGTGTTCGTAATGTGCTTTGTCACGGTCACAGGTAAATGGCACGTTATGGTAAAAGTCAAGTGTGAGCATGTACAATAAATAAATTTAAATTGTATAAAAACAAGGTTAATTGATTATGCATATGTGAGCTATAAGTTAATTGATTATCCAGCCATTGGTATGGACGGATATATAAATTGTTGCATTTGAATTAATATTATAAGCAGTTTATAAGTTAAGTGTGTGATACTATAACAAAAATAAACTTTAAATGAATATTGTAATGGAATACTGCAAAATTATGTATACACAATATATAAATCTGAGGAGAACAATGTAGTCACTAATCCTGAAAATCCCATAAGATTTAAAAACAAAACTCAATGCATTCTTAATAGTTCAAGTGCAAGTCATTTATAAAATAAAAAACAATGTATTATGCTAAGCATTTTTGAGTAAATGGATTCATTAAATGCATGTTATAGAACGAAATATTTACTGGCGATTAAGTGATAATTTACAAGTTAAACAATGTTTATTAATCACATCACAAATGACCAATGTTGAGAATATTTCACAAATTCATTATCTCCCTGTTCAATTTGAAGCAATTTGCTTAACACTTGGAAAATCAATTCGAATTTAACCTTTAAAAATAAATTTCCCACAAGGGAAATTACCAAAATTTAAAATATTTGCCATATGTTTTACATGTAAAATGTGAATAAACAGCATCTGAGCTATAAGTATTTAATAAAATCTTTGTTTTTATTAAATGAATATGTAATAGATTTATTATAGGTCTGTTCCACGAGCTACTTATAATAACTTCATGTAATTCTGTGTATACACAATTGCGTTCCACTAGCAAATTTTAGAGTAAAAGAGAGCGGGTATGTTATTGAAATACTGTTGTATGCCTGTTGAAATTTTAAAATGCTATACAGATTTTTCTCGTAGATTTTATTTATAACTGTTTTGGTTTGAATTTACATTTTAGTATTGTTTATGTGCGCGGCACTGGTGTTTTCCCTAGATTTTGCACATAGTTGTTCCATGAAAATTTGTATAAAGAACGTAATTTGGCATTTTATTTGTGTTACTCTTAATTTATACTTTACTTGTTTGTTGCTCGAGTAGTACTAGTAGCTCGTAGAACAGACCTATTTATTGTTCCACTTAGACTTGAGTATAATATATTATGTAACATATGTGCATCAATAATGTCTTATTTTATACAAAATTAATATTAATTCAATTTAACAAGTATTAATTATTTTAAATTAAATAAAACTATTTTGTGTTTTATATAAGTTGTTATTTCAATAAATCAAATAAAGATATTTAAGTTATTTAGTATAGTAAGTTATATTAATTAAATATAACTATATTTTTGAACAAACTGTAATACAATATCAATAATAAAATAAATTATTTAACGTACCAAAATAATTTTCAATATTCTTTTCAGTGTTGCTGTGTTGCCCTGTGTTAACTTAGAAACAGCTGTTTGCAAAAAAAGCATAAGAAGAAGCATGGCAACAATAATAAAGAAATAAAAAAAATTTGACTTTTGTCGTTTGAAGGGTATATGAATTATGTTTGATTTGGTGAGAACGTTTTAATTAAATCAACAATAAAAGGGCAGACAGGACCAAACGCATAATTTAGCTATGCGTGACGTGCCAAAAACGTGAGTAGCGTTGAATTTTTTTATCAATATATATAAAATTTTCTATACGGAACATGGCACATAGTCTTAGCATAACTGTGACAACGCCAGGAAGCAGTGGAATGCGTTCCGTAACGCCATCTACAGCAGGCCGACAAAATAGTTTGGAAGATATAAATTTGGACCAGTTTCTGAAAACGTCCAACTATGAGGATACAGTGAAGCAATTGGATATTTACTATGGAATCGGTGAGTTGCGCGCTACTGCGCAACAAATAGCGCACGCAAGCAAAAGAACGCAGCTGCTTGTAAAATGCATATAAATGTGTACTAACTATTATAATTTATATAATAGATTGTATAATGCAATTTATATGTTTTTATAATATGCGATTCAGCTAATATTTATAAATTTTATTTAAATATTGTCAATATGTTTCTGTTGAATAGTTAAACGGCAGTTACTGCGCTTCCAGAGTCCAATTACTGGTCTGTTTCCCGTAATGAGCACAGACCAACAGGTTGGTTCTGTGCGTGATAGTGTTTATTGTGCTGCTGCTGTATGGAGTTTATATCAAGCCTATAGACGTATTGATGATGATCGCGGTAAGTCGTATGAACTTGGACAATCCACAGTGAAGTGTATGCGTGGTATACTGGAATGCTGGGTGAAACAGGCATCACGTGTAGAACTTTTCAAAAAACAACAATCGAACCAACACGCTTTGCATAGTAAATTTCATTTGCATACCGGCGAAGAAATCTATTCTGATGATTTGTACAATCATTTGCAAATTGATGTTGTGTCATTGTATATAATATTTCTGGTGCAGATGATTACATCGGGTTTACAAATCATATATACTCAGGTATGTTACTTTAATTTAATTACTCTACAATTTTTGATATATTTCGTTTACAGGATGAAGTGGCATTCGTACAAAATTTAGTTTATTATGTTGAACGTGCATATCGTACACCAGATTTTGGGATGTGGGAACGGGGCTCAAAATACAATAATGGCACACCCGAAATTCATGCATCGTCCATTGGTAAACAATAAAATATAAATTTACTAATTGTTTAAATAGTTATGCTAGTGAGGTGGTTATTGCTTTAGAATTACAGTCACAGTGCTTAAGCCTTATGCTACATTTTTTGCATAGTAACTATGCTTTAGTTAGATTATTAGCTCTTGGACATGAAGAAATATGTAGTTCGTTTCAAACGTAAAATCATTGTTTTGAAATTAAAAGTCAATAAGAAAATGATATCTGCAGTGTCAGATAACGTAGACATTTACAAATTTATTTGTAATGTGAGAGATGAGACAGAAATTCAATCAGGTTAGTTATGAAACTCAGTTCTCACATTATAAAATTATAAACAAATATTTTACTCACTTGTAATGCAGGCATAAAGTGTTCTGTTATTCAATAATAACCCTAAGTAAGATTATTTATTTGCTTATGAACAAGTTTGAGCAGTGAAGATTACATCGAATGCTGACTATCGTATTCGACTTTAAAAAGAACCCCATTATTATGTTTGCTTCAATAATAGTTTTTAATTATGAAATTATATTATAGAATTATATTTGAATGCTAGAAATTAAATTGTGAGATACTAATAATGCAGTTGCGTTGTAATCAACTTTCTTGTCTAAATATCTTATAAAGTGCCTCAGGTTTTGTACAAATTTGCTGTAAAGTTGTTGTTATTGTTGTGAAAACCCTCACCACGCAAGACAAATTAATAAAAATGTAACAAAACTTTCTCACCTGGATAGGATGGTGAAAGTAAGAGATCGTCCTGTAAAAGTGAGAAAAGGAATAGGTACGAATGTTGAACTTAATCCACAACCAGAGAAAGAAATATAGATAGCATATTTTAGAGCTTCAATTTAAGTTTGTATCTTAATATAAAAACAGATGGTCAATATCTTTAGTAACACAGCAGTTGGGTAGTGATTAACGCGAGCTATATCCAGACCTTAATTGAATCAGAACAGTTCTCGTTGTGTGTTGGAAACGTATTTTACCCCCATAGATTTTAAACGCAGATCTGTTGGGAACTTTACGAACTTATTTATAAATATTTTTTTTCCAAATATTTTTATTACAAAGAATATTTAGTATTTAGTTAGAATTTGAAATACAGTAGATGTATTTCAAATTCGAAACGCTTGGTTTCGAATTTGTGAATAGTTCTAATTTCTGCACTTTTTTATTCTTATAAAAAATGATCAAAAAATTAAAACTCTACATAAAAACTTTGTTTCACATTATTGTATAGAATATTCAATAATGTTTGTTTGTTTTTTGAATAAGTCTTATTTTTTTACAATGTTTTCATTACGGAGAGTTAAAAGATTGGTCATGTGATCGGTAGGAAATTAGTTATTCTTTTCAATCGCTTCAGAATGCGACACATTTGGTATGGATTGGGAGCGTCATCTTCACTGTTATTTATCGTATAATAATCAGTATTGAACTCAAATTCAGATCCGTCTTGAACTTGCATTTCTGAATGCATTTCATCAAAGTGTGCATTAAAGTAATTTTAGAACTTTTAGTTCATAGAATGTATTGAAATATTTGGTTCTAATTTCTAGACAATTCGAATTTGTGAGAGTTCAAGTTTAATACAGTAGTATTAACTATATTAAATAATATTTGCGTCCAGTTACCAAATTATGCATTGTTCTAATACAGTAAAAAGTATTGTATATATAATTTTAATTAAATCTTTGTTATTTTTAACGAATGTATGAATTTGTGATAATTAATTTTATTTTTGTTTTTTGCAGGCATGGCCAAGTCAGCCTTGGAAGCCGTTAATGGCTGTAATTTGTTTGGTGAAAAAGGTGCTTCATGGAGTGTCGTTTATGTTGATATTGATGCACATAATCGTAATCGTAGTATTTTCGAAACTATGCTACCAAGAGAATCAAGCTCAAAGGTAAATACAATTTTTGTATAGTGTTTTCTGAAAACTATATATAAACTGTGATGTGTACCAAATTGTGAATAAGTAAACAACAAATTAAAGTCTACATTATTTGTTTATCGTTGAGTTAAGACATTTATTATTCATAGGTTATTCATAGATCTATTATTAAAACTATTTTTGAACTTAAAATAATATAAAAATAATTTTAGTTGTTGTAGCTCACTACTGTTTGAAACTTCTTTTTACGTAATTTATTTTTTGCTCTTTTTTTTTGTATTTAAGCTTTTTTTATTATAAAAAATTAGAATATTAGTAGCTATTTTTTTTTTTTTGAAATAATAACTAATGCAATATACAATATTTCAGGGTGTTGATGCGTCACTTCTGTTAACTTTGTCGTTTCCTGCTTTTGCTTCGCATGAAGAACGTTTAGTGGAACAAACAAAGCACAATGTTATCACACGTTTACGCAGTAAAAAAGGTTTCAAACGCTTTAGTCGAGACGGTTTTCTAAGCAAATTTGAAGATAAAAACAGAAGGTATATGATTTAGCATTAAAACTATTGTAGTTAATGAATTTGTTTAGCTTATAGTTTTCTTACGTTGCAGATATTATCACACTGGCGAAATAAAAGATTTCGAAGGCAATGAGTGCGAATGGCCACTCTTTTTCATTGTGATGATAATCGATGGTGTCTTTAAGAATAACAATGAGCAAATTGAAGAGTATCAAAATGAGTTGCGCTGTTGCTTGCACACCGATGCCTATGGCGATCCAGTCGTTACCATGTACTATGCACCTGACGGTGAAGGTTCCTATGTAAGAGCACCCTCGCAATCACTATTTCTGTGGGGGCAGTCACTATTCATCATAGCCCAACTGCTTACAGCTGGTCTGTTGCACATCAATGAACTGGATCCCATTCGTCGTTATTTACCCAGCTACAATCGACCTCGTCGTGCCGGTCGCTATTCTGCTTTTCAGGTAAGTTTTTGTTGTACAGCTGCTCTGTACCATACTGACATATAAAAATTGATATATAGCTTTTTGGTATTTTTCGATAGGGTTGGTTAACTATTTATAACTACTTGAGCTGATAATTATTTATTTAACTTTATTGTTACGATTTTTATGTTTTGTTATATATTGTGTTTAACAATACTCTTGATATTTATTTTTGATTATATATTCTTAATTAGTAGCGCGTATTGATTTATACTTATAATATAATTGGCTGTTTATACATACAAATATATATACATATATTTTTGTTTTTTGTCCGCTCTACCATAATTCCCCCAACCCTCGCTACTTAACAAATCCCTTACAAAATTCCACATAAAAACATTTTGTAAAATGGTTGCAATATCCAAATCCAAAAACGGCAGGGAAAAGCCTTCGATGAGAAACATAACGTAAGTCAACAGTTAAACAAAATTCTAAAAATCAAAATTTTTCAAAGTATTAGTAACTAGTTACGTATCTAGCTTAAAATTAACTAAATTATTTCAAAAATCAGTTCATTTATACTTCACGTTTGCTTTCATTTGCAAATCAAAGCACATATTTGCAATTTTTTATTTTGACTTGTTTCGTATTTTACACAGAAATTTTTGTTTTTTGATTTTGATTATATTATCATTTTCTTATACCATATATACCGATATTGCATATTGGCATTATAATATATATAGTCCGATTTATGAATAATCTTAGTTTCCTAAAGCACTTTTGAGTAAAACTTCTTTTTATGAAATATGTTTTCACTTAGTGTCATGATTATTGTTTCTAAATATTTATTTGAAAACAAATTTTTTCCCTAATTTCTATAAAATGATTTTCTACACATACAACATATACTCATTTCTAGGAATTTAGTATGCTAAACAGTATATAATAATATATGTTATCTATAATGAGCATGTGAAACTTATTCTATAATTTTTCACCATTTTCTAAAAACAAGAAATTATTTTTAAAACTTTTTTGCGATTGAAAAACAGAACGTAGTCCTGTTTTTGTATTACTAGAATAAAATATAAGTATGTTATATATATATTTATAACTATTTTCTATTTGAAGACTGTCATGATAATTTTTGCAATAATTTTACTATGAAAGAGTTTTTCCCGATTATAAAGTCACACAGATTTGATGCTTATGCTGTCTTGGTAAAACTCAATACCGTGCATTTGAACCGCTATATATTATGTGCCCACCATCTTCAAGAGTAATCTAAGATAATTTTTGGAGAATCATCACAATAGCTATTGTCATTTTAATGGTTTTACAGTTAGTACATCTCTCGTTTCACTTTATTTTCGTGTATGTTTTTCTTCGTTTCTAGAATACATCGACACCTAACGTAACGGAGGTGAGTCATCATTATTATCATCAATTCCTGTATCTCTCATTGGAGTATAGGGTGTCAATAGAGGCAACCCATCAGTGTAGTTAATAATCATCGAGCGGCAATTGCCATTTATCCGTATATTACAGTATTGTGTTTTTCGAGATCATATTGGCATCGAAATGAGGCTTACAATACACCTGAAATATCTAAGGTGTAAATATCTAAGATGAATTTCTAACACGACTTTCTCGCAGCAAAAAATGCCATTGTCAAAAAAATAAAATTAGGATAAATCGTGTACAGTTACCAGTCACGTATAGATACTAATCCTTGGCTGTAAACAACGTTTTTACGTCATCCACACCAAATAGTAATAGAGGATACTCTTCGCGATCACGTTTGTCTAATAGCATGGATTTCTCCGCATTAATTTTCTGAAGATGAAAGACATTTTCCTTGCGTAGTAAGAATTGTATTTGTTCAATTGAGATCAGGTTATAGACATGTGCTAAATAGTTACTTGTAACGCGTAAATATACGTCCATTTCCGGTATGTGTCGTATCTGTGTGCGCTATTGGTTTATAGCTTGGATCTGTGAAGGTGGAAAGATTTCTCCATCTAGATTCAGATTAGACTCAACGTTCTACATATTTCGTGATTCTTACTCTTACCTCATTTCATATTATATTCTCTATTCCCGTCCCATTGTGCTGTATCTTGTAATCCTTTGAGTTACTTGCTTTTAGTGTGTCGGTGAGTTTCAATTGATACTCTACTCATAACGACGGTGATCTGTTTTCAGTTTTCAAATGTCATCGTACACACCAACTAATCCCTATCGATTTATGGCTTCATTTTATTGAGGTGGCTAGATTCCTTAAAATTTCATTGGTTTCGAGGCATTTAAAATAGGTTTTCTGTGTTGTTTATTAAATATGCTCTCTTATAGTCTGTTGTTTTCACAATATTTTCTCAAGATAATTTATTAAAACAATAAATCAGTTACATGATATAACACAGGTGTTACTAATTAAGTTTATGAATGTAAGTCTGTTATATCATGTATCCTTACTTATTTACTTATTTGGCCGTAGGAATCCGTTACTGGATTTCGGTCTGACACAGTATGTCACCCCAGGCGCCTCTGCTACATGCGTACATTCTTCAGGTTTGTACATTAAGTCCGGTTTGTGCTTGCTTAACTTGATCACTCCCCCGAAGACACGATCTACCTCTACGCCTTCTGTCTCCAACTACTGCTTCAAACACTTTTTTCGGTGGAGTATCGTCATCCATTCTGACAATTCCGGCAACAATTTTAAAGCTTTTACTACTTTCCCAACTATATGGGTAGGTGAAAGCGAATGGTCCTTAGCAATAACATTTAGAGGTTTCATAAGAGTATTAGGTTTATCTACTAAGAAAAATGAGGTCTTAGTTGCGTGAAATAGGCAACTATAGAGAATTTATTGAATGCGCTTAGCAATTATAGCAAAGCAATGAATTTTTATGTGTTCTAGATTTTATATATAAAATTATATATTTATATTAATTATATATTACAAAGTATTGTATAGATTATGGTTTGAAATTGTGTAAAGTAAAGTGTCGTCTTAATATACTTTATATATTTTGAAGTTTCAAAAACAATGTTCATTGATTTTTATTTTAAACATACAAATCAGATGTCGATAATATGTCCAATAAATAGAAATTAAGTAGAATGAAATAGAGTGGAATGGGTTGAAGTTTTTATTAAAATGAATGGTATATAAAAATGTTGATGCTCTTGAACAATTTGCTTGAAGTTTGCTTCTCTCACGTAATCACTTATACAAGTTATCATATATAAATTTTAGGTCTAGACGTCATCTTTTTTATATATATACTATATATATATATACTGTGCTTCATATGCGGCGCTTCTTGCAAGGAACCTTGTTTTACATTAAATTTGTGGACCCATAATCTTAACACACATCTTTTTACACTACTAACAAATTGTCCTTGTGTTGTTATTGCATTTATTGTATATATTATAAAAAAAAATTCAAAATCATATATTTTATTTAAAAAGAAATTTTAAACTATAAAATTAATTTTTAAATTTTTTGTTAAACTTTTAATTTTATTTCTAAAACTTCTTTTATTTTTCCAACCCAAAATAGGCTAAGCCGGGCACTGTAAGTAATTTTAGGTTTTGTTTTATAGTTTTGTTGTTGTTCTAATACGATTTTTTTTTGTTGTTTATTGTAATTAATTTTTGAAATTAAATTTAATTTTGAATAGTTAAATTTTTTTTTGTTAAAGTTAGTAAATATTAAAAAAAACTATTGTATTTGGCGCAAAACCCATTAAAACTGGTATTTTATGGCATGTTCAGCAAAACAAAGTCCAAAAAAATATAATTTTAACAAAAAAAAAAAAAAACAAAAAAAAAAACATAGAAAAGTAAATAAATAGTTTATATAGTATACATATAAATAAAGTAGTAATAAGAACTAATTTTGTAATAATGAAGATAACCTATATAACATTTTCACAACTCCTGCTAGAATCCAAGAGTACCTTTAATTCTGGATGCAATAAAGGTAATTTATAAGTGACACACTCTTTCTATACACGCACACTAATGCTTAACTATTTCAGTTGATCCACTAAAAGTGGAGCCTTAGCATTTCTTAGTTGGTTCGTTCGCTAATCTCTAACTCTTTTATATAAAAAATTTTCTCCTCTTCCGGTAACAATTTAAAATCATTGTTCATAGAAACCGAAAATTGGCTAAGGTAACATTTTACTTATTCCTAAAAATATGCAATTAAATTGGGAATTATATATAGAATATTCGTCATAAAATATGTGTAGTTTTTTATATATTAAAAAAAAAATCATAGACGAAATGCTATAGCTCCTCTCATGGATCCACTCTAATAACAAAGTTAGAAATTAAAAAAAAAAATATAACAAAAAAGTAAAAAGTATTAAGCAAATTTCAATTAATTTTATTTAATTTTTTTAAGCTGTTTTTAGCAAATTTTCAAAATACACAAAAAATGTAAATATTTTGAGAAACAATCAAATCCTTGTACAAACTTGGACTTACACACCTAATTGGAATAGACGAAATTAATAGAAATACGCTTGTTTCCACCAAAAGAAAAAAAATGAATAAAAATTAGTTATTGTAGTTGTTTCTGATACTTTTACTTTTGCTTCTTTGATTGGTATAATTATAATTTAACATTTTGAAATATTTATTCCAATGTGCAATGAAAGATATAGAAGAACATTTAACTCTGCTGCAGACCGTCTTTGTCAAGTACTAAGTATAATGGTTGACAAATATGTGAGATTTCGATGTACAACGTGCACTGTAGACTGGTGCCAAGGGCAATAGTTTATAAAACTTTTGATTCTCCATTTCCATATCAATATGTGACTTACAATAATTTTAATTCATATCACTTTTTTATATTACTAAAAAATGTCAAGTATTGTTACTATTACCAAAAAAATATTATCATTATTATTATATTATTATCATCATCATCATCATCATCATCACCATCATCATCATCATCCTTGACTATACAGTCCATGTAGGACCTAAGGCTGTTTAAGAACAATCTTCCATTCTTTTCTGTTTTTTGCTTTTGTTTTCCAATTTCTTATGTTTATTTCTTCTAAGTCCTGCTGCACACTGTCTTTCTTTCGCTTTCTTGGTCGCCCTCTTCTTCGGCTGGTTCCCACTTCGTTTTCATAAATCTTAAGTGGTACTCCATATCCGGCATTTTTATCACATGTCCAACCCATTTTACCCGCTGCTTTATATTATTAAAAACTTTATCATTTTATAGTGGAGAAAGAAAATTAAGTACTTCTCGTATTACTATTTTCAAATTATCGTAGAAATCGGAATAAACGATATACTGGGCATAAAATATCAAAGAGACATGATAGAGACAGTTAAACTTTCTAACCAATGCCTCTCAATTGATAACCAATTCATTCGTAGCCTTACATTATTATGGTGAAACATTTCCCATATTTACTTCAGTGGCTTGCTTCTATAACATTAATTCTGGGAATAGGATGCGAATAAATCATTTGGCTATGTGAAAGCAGTTCACAATAAATCTTATCCTTCCATTACCTACTTTATAGCCATCCCGACTTTGGTAAAGTTTGTGGAATTTCAATCGTTTCATATATAATTATCGTATCCATTAGATATTAATATATCCATTAACATTTGCTACAACATGTGATTTGTAGTTAGAAATTCGACCCACTAAATATATCTTTAAACCAAAACAAAAAAAAAATAACCAATTTTAAAAAAATGAAATAATAAAGTATATGTGAAAAAAGTAAGAATAAAAAGGCCGCAGTATAGTTTTTTTAAATAAGAAAAAAATAAGAAATTGCTATGTCATTGGTCATAGTGTTGACATACTGCATGCCATCTGGTACTTATCAATAGATATTGAAATGAAGTTGCTTGATCTGACATCGAACGAACTTCGCGCTCTAGCTCAGAATCGTTTTTGTTGCAGAATCGCGAATATATGTATATATTAATATCAAAATTGTGGCCCTTGAAAGTTTAGTGAATTTTAGAACGCCGAATACTTTTTTTCTAAACGAATATGAACCATAGTTTATATCGTGATTATAAAAATTATTTTTATTATAACTTTCAGTGTAAGGAAGAGAGGCATTTAAATCATTATTTTTCACATAATTGACACCATTTCAATAATAAATAATTTTATTCAATATATGAAATTATGTACTTATTATTTATTATTCACATTATATGTACATCACATTATAATCTATTACATTATGTTATAATTTTATTTCCTAAGTTTTTGTGACTATGTCCTTATTTTATATGCATCTTTATTTATATATAAGTTTATAAATAATACCCATACACATATAATACATATTATGTAAAAATGTATACAAGGTGAGATGAAAAAACTGCAACCAACTTCAGACTGCTGTCATTTCTAAACCGCTCGTCCCACAGCTGTCAGATTTATTCTAGTGACAGCTCATTATATTGTTTACAAGCGCACAAAAGCATTTTGGTGGGAATTTTTCAAAAAAAAAGTTATTTGTGATGGAATTCAAGCGTGATAGTGTGATTGCTTTGCATTTGGCTGGAAAACCACAAGTGGCTATCGTTAGAGCCCTCCAGCATTTAGAAGTGAATAAATGTTTTGTGTCTCGTACCATCGCTCGTTACCATGATACTGGTAGCGTAGCCCGACGTCAAGGAAGTGGACGAAAAAAAACAGCAACATCGGCAGAAATGGTTCGAAAAGTGAAAAAGCGAATTGAACGAAATCCGCGTCGCAGTGGACGAAAAATGGCTCGTGAGCTGAACATATCGCAATATGCCATTCGGCAAATATTGAAAAATGAGCTTGGACTAAAGCCATTCAAGTTCCAAAAAGTGCAAGATCTTACTGATGCGCAAAAAAAAGTTAGACTCGAAAAAGCTAAAGAGTTGTTTCGCTTGGCCGAAAGTGGTGAACTGCCGAATTTGGTTTTCTCCGATGAGAAACCATTCGTTATCCAGCAGTTTGTAAACAAACAAAATGATCGTGTTTACTTGCCAGAGAGGTCAGCTGAAAATTTGCAACTTCGGTTGGCCATCACAACTCAAAAGCCGGCCATGGTGATGGTGTGGGCCGCCATAACAGCCGATGGTCGCTCGCCGCTCGTATTCATCGACCGTGGTGTCAAATTAAATGCGCAAATCTATCGCGAAAATATTTTGGAGGGAGTTCTGAAGCCCTGGGCACGCAAACATTTCGGCCGCAGACCTTGGACATTCCAACAGGACTCAGCACCATCGCACTCAGCACGCGCCATCCAAGAATGGTTAAGAAATGAGGTTCCTCGCTTCATTTCCACCGCACAATGGCCACCAAAATCTCCGGATGCCAATCCGTTGGACTATTGTGCCTGGGGTATTTTGGAAAGCAAGGTTGGCACTAAAAAATACCAAAGTGTCGATCATCTCAAGCAAGCGCTTCGCCGAGAATGGGACAAAATAGCGCAGAGCCACTTTCGGGCAGCGTGTGATGGTTTCATTGGCCGTTTGAAGGCCATAGTTCGTGCCAAAGGTGGCCAATACGAACAAATCTAAACCGATTCTCAAATTTGATGTTATTTCCGACATTTTTTGCTTTCATTCAATAAAATTTAAAAAAAATGAAAAAATTATGGCGTTTTACTTTGTTGCAGTTTTTTCATCTCACCTTGTATATGTAACGCTATTTTGTGATCTTTATAATTACTATTGTGTTAGTATCATGTTAGTTCTTTGCTCCTTCTCCGTCATAAATGGTTGATAACTTTTCAAAATAGCAGTTTACTTTTAGGTAGTAACGATTAATAATTTCCTCCCAAACTCAATGTCATTCATAAGATCAAGACAACACTGTGGCTATGAGTAGTTTAGCAACCTGTATTAGTTCTATCTCTCAACTCTTATTTTCTTCCTAACTATTTCTTCTTCTTTTCACTTCATTTTCCTTACAAATATCTACGTTTACTTCATCGAATTCAACAATCCTTCGATTCATCAATTAATAAATCAAAATATTTAAATAAATATAGCATATCATATCCATTATCATTATTATCACTACATATGATATTATGTATATTCTTTTGATTTACTTGTGAGTGAACTTATTTTTTCTAGAGAGAAGTTATATTAATTTCTCTCTTTCACGAATTCCTTGAACTTCACCCTTGACATTAAAATCACCCTTTGGGGCTACACTTTCGTCGGTTTGTTGCACGAGAAGTGTTCTGAAAAGGTCTCCGGGCACTTGCACTACTGAATAAATGTTTTAAAAATTTTATTAAAATTGTAAATTTGTTTTTTTTTTATTATTTAAAATTTAAAATTTTAAAGTTAATGTTGTTGTTGTTGTTAAATTAATTTTATTTGTGTTGCATGCTTCTTCCTCTCCTGCTATTGTTGTTGTTATTGTAACTAGCATTATCTGTAATTATTAGTATTTTTAATTCTTGTTTTTGTAATGAAATTATTTGCGTTTAAAATTTTCACTTAAAAAATAAAAAAATAAAAGAATATGAATGAATTATTTGAAGCATTCGACCGTGCATCTTGCAATGTTGCAAATTATTTCAGTTTTTAGTGCAACCTTCCTTTTGAACAGTTATCTACTTCAGCTTCAAGAAAATGCATTTCTTAAATTTCGATCTATTTTGTAGGGCACTGCAACCGATTTGGTAGTGCAAATTGTATTGATCGCCGAATCAATGCGTTTGCAAGCTATGATGGCAACTTATGGCATTCAAACTCAAACTCCACATGAGGTAAGTACCAAATATTGTTCAAAAACACAACTTACCATTACTCTTAATTATATAAAAATAAAACATATTACAAATACTGTATAATCATTATACTATTATAGAGTAGAATATTATACTATACAGAGTATTATTTCAATATAGCATCAATTCAAGGAGAAAAGATGGCGGTATTAAAGTGTAGTCATCAAAGAGCGCCAAAACTGCATTATTCAGATATTCTTTTTATTAAAAATGGTACTGGTAAATTATTCTATCCTCAAGTATAATGAAGTTGGAGAGTGGACTGTACGGTCCACTTATATCTTGGGTTAAAAAGCTTCATGAAAACTTTCACTTATACTAATAAAAATTAGACCGTTAGGTTAAAATTCTTAAAAAGGATCACATGAGAATGCGCTATGACAGTTATGAACGCTTCACTGCCAGTAGTAACCCATATTGAAACTGTCATAAAATTTTATAGCGCAGGTATCAGAAAATGACAAATATGTAGTTTGTTTAAAACGACAATATTGAAGATATCACTTTTAGTATTAACCTATATAACCTACATATACATTGTCGTAAAATTGCAACTTTCAGCAAGTGATGCCTAGATGGGCACTAGGTGACATCTCACGTTTAATAAATTGAGAAAATTGGTGTAATAAAAAATCTCGACGCCTGAGATAGGAAATAATTAATTTCTTCGTAGAACTGTTAAGAAATATTTTGAATAGAAGGAACCGTATAATTTTGTTCATTTTCAGTATTATCTAATGTACGCAAAAAAAATATTAGCTTATAATTGTTCACATAAGCGTAGCCATGACACGGGACAATGGGGTACGGTATAGTAAAGTAAATTATTTTTGTAAATATAAGCAAAATGTTGTTTCACCGCAGTAATCAATAAGTTTAATATTTAATTTTTACGATAGAAAAGGTCCCATTATAACAGACTCCTAACTCTATAACAGACCTTATTATTGTAAAATATATCTTCAAACACAATTTCACGGGAGACGGCTCATGCCGTAGTCTTTCTTGACTACGCTTATTCACAGAACCTATGATCATTTATTTATGTTATTTCTGTTATATTGAAAAAAATATTTATTATAATTATAATATATACATTATAATACATTAAAAAAAGCGTAAATGAAATTCAGTTTAATTTTAAATGTTTTTATTAATATTTTAATTGAACTTTAGGTTGAACCTGTACAAATATGGTCCTCCACCGAACTGATAAAAGTTTATCAACATTTGGGAGTAAACAATAAAGTCGCACTTTCGGGTCGTCCACCGCGTCCTGTTGGTTCTTTGGGGACTAGTAAAGTATATCGCATATGCGGCATGACTGTGCTCTGCTATCCACTAATATTCGAGGTGTCTGATTTTTACTTATACCGCGATATGGCATTGCTAATAGACGATATTAAAACCGAGCTGCAATTTGTCGGAAAATATTGGCGTCTATCAGGAAGGCCAACAGTGTGTCTGTTAATACGTGAAGAACATATGCGAGATCCGCAATTTAAAGAAATGTTGGATCTCTTGGCTATGTTAAAGAAAGGTTATTGTGATGGCATGAAAGTGCGCATAGGGCGATTACAAAATTTAATCAGCAGTTCTTGCATAGGTGAGTTTCCAACTTGAGTACTTTATAAGCTAAGAATTTATAGCTTATAAATTTAAAATTTATTTTATTAAATAATTACAGAACATTTGGATTTTATGAATCAAAGTGATTTGTCAGACAACGAGAATGCCTTTGCACAGATAAATCACGAATATATTGGCTATCAATCATTAACCGATGTACCTAAAGCACAAACCTATACTGAAGAAAAAGTTTCTGTTGAGGTGAGTTCTGAAACGCACTCTTTGCTCTTACATATAAATTTAAAGTTTACCGATTTATTGTGTTTTTTAATTGAATTTTTAGCATTACAATTTCAAACCAACACATGAAATTATTGAAGCACTCCGTAATACTGAGTCAATATACTCACTCTGTCAGTTATGGGGTATACTTTTAAATAGAGAAGGTCCAAACTTTGAAGTGAATGGTCTTAGCGTTAACCAAGCACTAACACAACTTTATCATCGTGCTGGCTCCCTGCGTTATTGGCGTGCTGTACGTTACTGCTCATCTTTACTACATCATATAGTTGATTCTATAAGTCCTTTCATAACTACTGTATTAGTCAATGGCCGTGAATTAACTGTTGGCGTTATTGGCCAAAAAGAAACAGTTTTTGATAAACCTATGACACCGGCTGAAATTAAAAATGTTATGTACACAACAGTACAGCCGTACAATGTCATTCAAGCTGTGCTGCAGCAAGAAGTTGTTCTTTATTGTGGACGCTTAATAGCTACGAATCCATCAATGTTTAAGGGAATACTTAAGGTAACAAAAAATTATAATTGATTTCTATTTCAGAAGTTGGAAACGACTGATACAATTGGGGATGGTACACCCCGTACACCCCTTCCAGCAGCACATAGCGAGGACCAGCAGATCCTCTTGGGTGACACAAAAAAAATAGTGCTTGCTCATGTTTTAACTTATATAAATTTATTTCATATTAAATTTTTTTTGTATTTTTAGATACGCATTGGTTGGGTTTTGGAAGCTATGCGCATATATTTACAAATCTCAGGTCAGCAACAAATCGATTTAGATAATTTGTCACCATACCAAGTACGCATATTGCTGCAAAAGGTGCTAACGGTTAGCGAATGGGCAGTCGAAGAAAAGTAAGAGAAAATTTTCTAGAATTGATAAAGTAAATTAATGTGCGTATTAATTGATCTATTGGCAGGCTTACAACCCTACAAAGACGTCAATTGGAAGGCTGTTTATGTCGTGTGCCAAAACATTTTTATAATTTAATTTGGGAGATATTACAACGTACACCGCAAGGTATATCTACGCAGGGCCATTTACTACCTGCATCACCCACGCTCACTAATATGAGTCGTGGAGAATTGACGTTCTCCCTACTCGTGGAAGAAACATTGATTTGTATTGACAAACCGGAACGGCGCCAAATAACTGTAGAACTATTACGAATTATTGCGACAATTTTAAGTCGGTTAGTGTGTTAATTATGTTCTATTTTATTATTTATTTATATATTAATTTATATGTTATTATTATGTTCATGATAAAGTCATGACTACAAACAATAATAACATATAGCGGAAATAATCATTCTCCATTCTCATTCTCATTCGTGTAATTTTGGGTCTTCCTTCTTTTCTATGGAGGAACATATTTGCAATATTATTATTATTACTCGTATTATCAGAGCGTATGCTCAATCTATTTTATAATCTTATTGTCAATGTTCTTGATCAATATATAGTGCAATTTCTTCTCAGGCATTAGTTAAATAAAAAAAAACTAATTAAGAACTTTAAAATTATTGTAGCAATCCAGAATTACACTTCAAACAAGCCTTGGACTTGGACGACATATTATGTGAAGCCTTTTCGATGTATTGCAAGGTAAGTGTGCTTATTTATCACAATTGTTTTGCTATTGAATAAATTTTCATTTTATTTTCCTTTCATAGGATAATGGCATAGAACACAAGGAAGATTTGTCACCATTCTATTCATTAATCTTCACTGAAACAACAGGTTACTTAGCGCGTGCCGCTGTAAACAAGGTTTTACAAGGCGGAGCGCTCTCTGCACAAGACGATGAAACCGATGCCAATGTTGATCATGTTCACGACGAGACCTGCAAAGTCTCCTAAGTTTTATAAGTTTGCTGGTATCCTTTTAAGAAAGCATAGCTTCATTACTTAATGATATATTTTTTAAAGTTCTTAAACGCACCTGTAGTTATAATTTCTATTGTTTTAGTGTTAAGTAATCTCAATTGTGACACTGAATTACTTCAAGTTTTTACTTTAGTTGCAACATCAATAATCTTTAAAATCGATTTTTAATATCATAATTTGTTTTGTTATTAGTTTCATTTGCTATTATAATCTTTACACTAATTTTGTTATTGTATTAATTATATAAATTGAATTGATTAATAAAATCGAGAGAGATATTATTTAAAATTTTAAAAGTTATTTGTCTAAGCTTTGAGTGAGTACTTTATAATGTATTATATATTATGTAGTATTTTCTAGAAAAAATGGGAAAAAACCGGCACCTTCTTAAACTGACGCTACTCACTTGCTAGTACCTTCTGACACCTTCTGACTTGTAGATTTAACGTAGTCCTTCAGGTTCGGCATTCTAAAATTTACTCATTAGTGGTAACAGAACGTGTCATTATTTGGGTTCAAGTGAGCTTTGATGCAAAGGATTCCTAAACGAATCTAAGCTGCAAATTTGGTTGTTGTTATTGTTGTTGTAACCCGCTGAGACCTGTAAGCAGATAGCATGAAATGATGTACAAGACGATTACATGGGTAAGGAAGTGGGTGGGTAGTGGTTAGGGGTGATGGAGGGGGAAGAGAATAGGGAGAATTGGGTGGGTGGAATAATATTGAACGTTAACCTGGATCCAGCCAAAGGAACCTGGCCAATTTAATGGGGTAGGTCCAGAGGTCAATTGGACGAAAGTTTGTGTGTGCGATAGGACAGGTAAACAGATAGGCGACGTCATGGGCAACTTTGGTCATTTTATTTAGTTTGCAACTAAAAGGTTATGTCAATTATTTCAAAACTATAATCAATTTGTAGTAATCAAATTGAGTTAATACATTGTTATAAGATTAAGACCTTGATATAGTGAGTTGAGAGTTTCTTTTATTAGACGACAGCTTGTCTGAAATCTAGGAAAGTCTTATATGCGTTTATATATATGTTTTAACTACAGAAACTTAATGAAATTTGAATAATAATCCACTGCTTATTGATATAATTCACAGATAAATTGAATTTTAACGTCAAATAGGGCGGCAATGACTACTATAATCAGTTTGAAATCCATCTGTGTAACCCACAATTTAAATGACAAATTCTCCATATTTATGATAAAGTGCATAAGCAAGCAAATAGCCACCTACAAAACCATAAATAACTTCTGACCCAGATTAACGAATAAGTGGTTGATCCGAACCACATATCATTACTGACTGTATTTGCATTTCTTATTTTGACTCGACAACGAATCAGTCCGATTACAGGACATTCTATATAAACATTTCCAACAAACGAAAATCCTTTCTACTTAAACCAAATGAATGTATATAATATCTCGGGACACTCAATGCTGCGCAAAGGGTCCCACCACGAGAAATATTAAAGAGATAATATTTCATCCAATTATAAATGTCTGTGCACATGCGAACAGTGTTACCAAAAAAAAGTTTCAACTCCATGAGAATTATAAGCGAAAAGGTGAAGTAAATAATATGACGAATACGAGAATGCACAAAAAATACCAACAAAACCGATTCATTACACTGCTTGATATCACACACATACACTGCATACATAATAACGTACTTACTTATACGTATAAGCAATTTCAAACATATGGACATACACAAAGCAAGGGCTATGTTTGTGTGCGTGACCCTCACAATATCGCTTTAAACTCACGCTGCATTAGCCAAACAAGAAACACCAAAGAAAAAATAACAACAAAATTGCGTCTTGACTGAATGTACGTCTGTTGACACACGAAGCAAATGTTGCTTGCACATGCTTCTTCTTCGATACTTTACTTGGGCGCAAGTAGTTTTGTTGTTGTTCTCTTCCCATAGAAGCGAATTGCTATTGCTTTGTTGCTAAAGCGTTAAGCGACAATTGTGTTAAGTATTTTGTTGCTATTTGCTTAAGTCGCAGCAACATTTTGCTTTGAACATATTTTCCCTCAATCGACATGTTGCACAGTGCAGCCGATTGCCGTAAAGCTAGCTAGCTTAATTTAATTTATTTATTAATTTAATTATTTATTATTATGATTCAATATGATTCAATATGATTCAATATGATTCAATATGATTCAATTAATATACATATATACATATGTATATACCATATGTAGTGGAATTGCGTAAACCATTTCGAGAATATTAAGTCTGATTCAAAATTCTTAATTAGCGACTCCAAAAGCTATAAAACAGAAATTTTAAGATCATTTTCCTCACTTCTTGATTTTTGGCCAGCTTTTCGGCAATCGGCCGCACTGTGCGCCGCGAAAAAACTGGTTCGTATTTCCGATTTTTTTTCATGTTAAGCACTAGCAACTTATAAAAGAGGCCATAAGTTCATTCCCTACTTTAGCATTGTATACCCTTTCGTTATGACACAGTGAATAGAAATTAAGCTCAATCTATTTTATTCGAATGGACCGAAACGGTGCAAGCACATTTTTAATTGGTTTCCAAAGGCAGTAGTCCATATCTGCAGCCCCTCATCTTGAAGAACAAATGCCGGTTAGCACTTCCGTCAGAATTTCAGCAATCGCAAAGACAGTATAATGATACTGACTTATATAGCGAGTAAAATGTTGGTACCATGGAATAAAATATATTTTAAAATACTAGGTAGGCTATACATAAAGTATAGACAGTTTAAACATGAGTATAGTTGGACATAGTTGGATGTAATATAGCTTTCAAAACTTAGTAGACACATTCTGTAGCAGATAAGACCAACCGGAGAGACCAAAGTTCATGAAACAACCACAACTACTTCCTAAAATGGCTATTAGACAAGTCGATAAGTGGCATCACCTAAATCTATAGGTGATATATATGATATATCATTATCACGTTAGCATTGTCACATGTTTCAATAATCATAATTCTCTGTTTATGAATTGTAAATGGAATGTTATTTAAACTGTTTTCATTATAAATTTTTTTTTTCTGGAGTTAGTTTCAAAAACTCTCTTATATTTTGTTATAGATTTTGAAAGTTTAATTTGCTTATATTTTTTACGCCAGAGATAGTTTTACATCTTAACAATATATTTTGTATTTTAAACTTGTGCGTAAACATGACTAGAGGTGAGTTGAATGTTTCTTAAGACACGCAAACAGAAATAACGCTTTCATTCTTCTTCAGGCGCAAAGAAAGTTAAATCGGCGGTCCTAACACCGACACAGGAAAAATTGGCAATTATCGGAAAGGCGGAATTTGGCGGCGTCAAGCAGCCACAAAAACGTGCAAAAGTCGGTCGCGGACAGCACAAGCGCGCGGCACGCGCAGTGCGTAAAGCAATAAAACGTCCCGGTGCCCGTCGCGGTGCTCGTCGCGGTGCTGTTCGTGGCCGAGCAAATAAGGTGGCGTCTACAGGTAAAAGCAAACGACCAAGAAAACCGCCAAAGCGTCGAGGAAAGCGGAAGGGGACTCGCCGCCGTATTGTTAAGCGCCGTGCACCTCCGGTACGTAAAGGAGGTAAGCGAAAAGGAATGAATAAGCATAAGCGGGTTCGTGCCCGTGTTCGAATACCAAGCGTAAGTTAGAAAAAAAAATTTTTTTAATGTTTTTAAATACAATATTTTGTTTTTAATAAATCGTACAGGATACCGACAGTGACATACGGATGCCGGAGGTGGCACAGCCTATTGTGGATATACCTCCACCAAATTTTTTGATTAGATTTTGGCAACCATTTACTTTTTTGGCAGCATTAACTACTTATTGGATTTATAATGTTTAGGACATAAATTAATCAAAATTTAAAATTCAAAACTCGAAATTCAAAATTTAAAATTCGAAATTCAAAATTCAAAATTCGAAATTCAAAATTCAAAATTCAAAATTTTACTATATAAATTAACAATGGACTAAATCTGATATATGACTTAGAATAAAAATTTCCAAATTGGACAGTTGACAGAAAACTTGCGTTTTATTCAAGAAGCAGAAAAAATTAATATTTAACGGAAATTTTTTTTCTAAATAGTTTAAAGAAAATTCTTTTCACAAATAATAAATACATAAGGATTCCATTTCTAAAGATTCTAGAAAGATAATATGCCGTCTCAATAGATATAATATACTTGTTGTTTCTGAATCGTATATAGAGAAATAAATGTTGGCGCGATTCGGAAGAGAATGAAGAGTTTTTAAAATTTTTAGGGAATATTTCCACTGAAATGTTATTATAGTTTATTATATAACTTTTTTGCAAACAGAAATAAAAAACAGATTAAAAAAGTGGAGTTGAAGAAGTTGAAACAGTGATAAAAATAATATTTCGAGTATAGTGGAAATGTCCAATATGTCCAAATTTAGAAAAGAAGAAAGAAAACTATAAAGCTTGGTTATTATTTAATTAGCAAAACTTTTCGAACGCATCTTTAATTTTGAAATATAAGCATTTTATTATTTTATTATATATATTTTATTATATAGTTTATTACTGAACGATATTCAAATTTTTCCATTTCATATAAAATCATCAAATGACCAAACTATATCAAATATTCATATAATATCATGAAGTTGAAACATTACCGATTGCATTAAAAGTGAATCTCAATTGAAAAACTTACCCTAGATTCATCAATCGGAAACGGCATTACGAGTACATAGCAGGAAAGTCTTATATGATCTTTAAATTCGGTAATAATCGATTTACTATCTAGACTTATTAGTTAATTGGAATGAAATGCCGAAACTTCTCTTAGAATCTTGAATAAGTTAAGCATGGATACCATTTTACAAAAAAAAAAGTAATGTTCTAGGTAACTGACTTTGAATTGGCAACAACAGCAGATTTGCTAGGTTGTTAATTCCTCAGTTTGTAAACTAAAAGAATTAATGTAATTATACTAACTACGATAATATTACTATTAAAAACTGCTCTCTAAATAGTTTAAATATCTATTCATTATTCTCCAGATTTACATTATTACATCGACCGCAACTGCAATGACCCAATATTATCTAATATTGTTTTTGCGTTTTATGCTATTGCTGAAGGCCGTAAAAGAGAAAATAAAAATAAATTGTTATCTACAAAATCGATGGACTTAAATAAAAAAATAATATAATAATAGAAGGTGGCGGATGGAAAAGCGAAAATATGTAGACATTGCACACGAATTGGCCCAATTGCTACCCATGAACCTTACGCAAAACTGATGCAATACTATT